GGTCGGTCTCCATACCTGTTTTGGTGCGCCGCTCCTCCATCTGGAGGCGCAGGTATTTGTCGGCGTCGTACCAATCATCAGGGAGGTCGCCGAAATTGGCCTCCCCTGAACTCCACGAGTACGCCGGTGAAGGGGCTCTGACAGCCGTGGTGGCCGGGACCTTTTGTTGCCCAGGAAGGTTTTCTTCTAGTGATCTGACGTCAAATCTCCCCTCACTACGGCTGCCTGAGTCAATGTCTAGTCGTCTAGTCCTCTCCGAAGCCATAGCGATGGGGGTTCCCAACGAAGCGGGGTGGCAGCGCAGCCGCAAACCAAGGGGTGTTCTCTAAGAGGCGGGCAGACGGAGCAGCCACTAGCCAAGCGGGATTCGAAAGGAGGCGGGCAGACAGAGCAGCCACTAGCCAAGGGGGGGAGGGGGAGGGGTTCAAATGTTGAGGGCAGATGAAACAGCCACGACAAAAGTCGATAGGCAGTGCCGAAATCCACACCAACGGGTCGTTCGCCGTCGGACCGGGGTCGTCAGTGAAAGCTAGTGTGAGATGGGGTGAAAGGTGAAACCCGAGGGCCGCGCGCGTTCCGTTTCGTGATGTAATCGTGCGTTTGCACCACATGATGCAGTGTCACAATGAATACCGATGATTCTCGTGCACCTTTCCTCTTCTTTACAGTACACATACGTTCTGTATGCTCGCATAAGGTTCATTCACGGCACGTGTATGCGTACCTTATGCACACGCGAGGTTGTCGTGACCGTACTGCATGTCCAATCAGACTGCCGTATGTGTGCTGTATGGTCACGGCCACATTAGGGTGCCGTATGTGTGCAGTATGTGTCGACATCCGACTGCCTTAATACCAGATGGCTGGCTTACGCTGCGTACTTTCGTAGTTATACTGTACCTCATGCATGCGTGTGGCGGGTTGGCTACTCGCACGGGGCCATAAGGAGCAGTGGGCAGCGAGGATAAGAACTAAAAAGGTGACAGTGCAATGCAGTTTTCGTGGGAAAGTTAATATAATATTGCATTAATGAAAGTATGTGCAGTACATTACAGAATAACAAACAATAATCACAGGTTGATCTCATAATGGTTAGGAGTCAGAGCAACGTACATTCCTACTTTAAGAACCTTGCTTTTTAAACATATCACAGGGATAACCAAATAATTTCCCGAATCCTCAACGGGTAATAAATGTCTAACAACATACCTGCTCTCTGTGTGATAAATAAAATTGATGTTACTTTAAAAACTTTAATGAGACAGTAGAGTGATGCATTCTCAGACTTAACAGACACAAAAATACGACCATCACCATCACTGAGTTCAAACTGAACAACCGAATCACTGCGTTTTTTGTTGTCATCATAAATTTTACTGCTGTAGAAGCTGTTGGACGTAATTTTGAGTCCGGAATGTAGAACATAACTCCTAAAATCACAGGAGCTAAGGCACTCTTTCTCCTCGGTGCCGACGGATCCAAGAGGCAAACTTGCACCTACCAAATGAGGCTGTGCCTCAGCTGTATGGACCAACGCCCTAGCATGAGAAGTAACATTTTCCAAGATTGTAATGTGGGTTGCTTAGTTCTCCCTCATTAATTCAGATGTTCCGACTAACTCACTCAATTGGATAGAGGGGCGCAGGTTACTTGATTAATTTTTGATGGGCGCCAGGAATCAACACAGCATATGACAGATTCCTCAAATAACTTTTATTTATACTAAAAACAATTGTGCGTGTGGACCGTATTCGAAACTCAAACCTACTCAATAGAGAGGTACATTGATGGTGAAACTATGATGACACCATCAAGACATACAAAGATATACAACGTCAAAATAATTAGCTAGTTCAAAGGCAGGATCCACGAAGCAAGCCGCGAACCACAACTTGCCAGTCTCGCTTCACCCACCCCAAACGAAGAGCTAGAACAAACAAGCATTAGATACAGCGTACACCTTCATTTGACGTACGACGAGCAGCAGCAGACAGAGCAATGTGAGGTTAGGCCGGCCCAGGGCCAGGCCTCCAACCCGGTAGGCTACATTGTGGCGATCAGAAGATCCTGCGGGAAGGGAGCGTCAACGGGGCCTAGCCGCCCATGAAAAAGTTCCTAGGTACTGTACTGTACTACCTAGGTACTGTACTAGTATTTCCCATTCCTGCTCTACAATTTGTGCAATTGGTCCGAGAACTGGTCTGTAAATCGTCTATAAATCCAATGAATGTCTCAAATGAGGTCGAGATTTTCGTAAGGGTCTTTCCTTTGCCGTAGGGCTCGCCCAGTCGAAATTTTTTTCCGCAAGAATTGGAAAAGAATCCGCTTTTATTAGCAGAAAAAAATCTTAGTGGTCGGAAAAATAGGGACAATTGGAAAACTTCGAATCAACCTAACCTAACCTTTCCAGTAAAAAACACGCGAAAAATCTGACCCTGCGCAATGAGGGACAAAGAATTAGATTTGTTTTGGACGTTTGCCCCATAAAAAGGTGTCTAGGCCCT